GTGGAAGGTGTCCCTGCCCATGGCAGGGGTTGGAGCTGGAGGAGCTTTAAGGTCCCTTCATCCCAAACCAGTCTGGGATTCCATGAAAACAGGACAGAGAAACACAACTAAAGAAGCTCTAATCAGAAAGACCATCCTTGGAGCGTAACATCCCAACACCACCTGGACAAGCAGCAAAACACAGCTTCACGAGCCAGCAAAACACCCTTCGAGCATCCTCTGGGTGAACTGTGCTCTTTCTAATCTCATTTAAGTATTAAAAAAATAATACATTAAAAAAAATCACACCCAGGTGTTAATAATTGCAATTATATCCAATAAATACCAAAAGGAAGGGGGGGGGGTTAGGGACGACAGCCCCCCCCGGATGTGCTGGGATGTGTCATGGGGCTGAGCCTGTCCTCATCCTGCCCCCAAGGGACACCCACTGGGTACGAGCTGTGCTCTGGGTGTGTTTGATAATCGATTTTCTCTGCCTTTGCAGGTGTTATTTTCTCTCTTGTCCTCTCAGGTGTGTATTAGATCATCAGTGGTGATCTTCAAGCCTCCAACTGGCATGAATTCAGGTCATAAAACCTCTCAGCTGAGATCTATTGCTCAGGTAAAGCCCTTCCTTGAGTTGAAGACCCCTTTAACATGAGGAGAGCAACACACAAAATACCACCTTACACCCCAAAACCTGCTCTCTTGAAGAAACAGCAGCAATTGCAACCCCCCAACATCAATTCTCCCAGCCCACAGGGAGCCAAGAAACCCACTGGAGAGGGAGAGCAGAGACCTAAACCACGCTGGGTCCATCCGAATCCCTGGCTTTCGACCACGCACTGATCCCACAATCCCTATTCCTGTCTAAAAAGGAGGAATTCCAGCTCACTGGGAGGCTTCCGGAAACTCTTTAAACTCAACCACAGAGAAAACAAGGTGCAAGGAAAATAACTTCATGTGGAGGTGAGAGACGAAGCAGAACCGGCACCGGGAATGCCGGCATGGCAAACCCTCCCTGCCAGGACAGGGGTGTCTATAGCTCTGTCGGGAGAGCAGTAGATCCGTGTCCAAAAGGATCTGAAGCAGCCGGAGTTCCTCTGAGAGCAGTAAAAGCACCACTTGGTCAAACTTCCAAACTCATCCCCATTCCAGCCGCAGTCCTGGCGGAATGCCGGCTCCCCCGCGGCCGGTGTGAGCATCCCCTCCTCTTCCTCAGGAAGCTTAGGGGCAGATCTGCTGCTTCATCCGCGGTGGACAGCACTGACAGCGGCGTCTCCTTCACTCTCCCCATGGAAGCACATTCCCACAGGGAAACCTCGCTGGATGTAACACACTGCATCTCTCCCAAGCAAAATAAACCATCTTTTCCCTCTTCTCATCGCTTGGGACAGACTAAACCACCCCAAGCAGCAGCTC